ATGTAATTTGTAAATATCGTAATAAAAAAAAAATCAATTTTTTGAATAAAGGGTACCACTTTTAATATATATAAAACAGATTACATCAGCATAAATCTGAACACACTTTCCGTGAAGTACTTCCCAGAATAGTCCTTTTTTTCTTAACATTTTTCAATGAGCTACGAATACCCCAATTACTAGCACAAACAGCCACCTGTAGGGCAGCATTTCATAACTACTGAAGAGAGTGCTTCCCTTAGCACTAGTTTTTAAAAGGAATATCTAGAATATCTTCTTCAATTGTGAAGTCATCACTGACAGTACAGATGAAAATTAAAAGTTTTCTAATATCACTTACATCTGTTATTTAGAGAAATATTTAGATATCGATACATCTGCTTTTAAGTTAAATTCCACTTGCTCACTCGTTTCATTAATTCTTCATGAAACAGTTTAGTGAGATACATACATACACTGAAAATTTCTAACCATTTTTATATCTCCAAAAGCATCAGCCATTTTAATTGTGCATTGTGTAATAACTTCAGCATTTCTGAATTAAGTGTTTTCTTTGCAACTAAAAAAACTAACATCATAAGAAGCTTGTGTTTAAACTTGATTTCTGAATAGTTGTTCTTCGGCAAACACATTTTCCGGCTTATTCAACTTTGACACAAGATCTTTTACCACAGTTTTTCTAGCTTTACCATTGTAAATGTTATACTTGTCTTTGTGGTTTGTTTCATAATGGCACTGAAGGTTATAGTCTTTTGTTACGAACACGACTTGAGAACAAACAAGACACAGAGTTTTCTTTTGAAATTCATGTACAAATAATTCTCTTTTCACTTTTGATTGAAATTTCTCTTTTCCAAATCCACGTTTCTTCTCTTACTCAAACTCATTGTTACTTTAAAAAACAAAGAATTCTAAATTACAATGTAATTATTAAATGCATTCACTTTGGATTAATTACTTCAAAAGCACAAACACAAATTACTGTCATGTTGAAGTGTGGTGGCTGCCAACAGTAAATACTGACTAAGGCTAAGCACGTATGTGCAATGCTCCCGAGATCACACGATTAAAACAACCAGTCAGCATTGTGACTGTGCAGCAGGCAAAAACAAATCCAAGCTGTAGTAAGATTAACAACTAAATGCCACGAGTAAGCACTTTTGAATAGCCTTCATGACAAAAATTTTAGGAACTGATAGGTTTTAAGATATTAATTATTTTATTTCTGAATTTTGACTTTCATCAATCTTTTATGGATATTCAAATTTTCTTAGGGTCAAAGAAAGAGACCTCGCAGGCTGCCAGTTGAACTACACTGCTCTACACTACTTAGCTGCACAAGTAGTTTGTATAGTCACCAATATATTCATGCGTTTTTTTAATAGGCAGTTCATGCTCATTTCACAGTCAACTTAATACGAATACTCTGCCTAAACTACATCAAAGAAGAATTAGTATAATAATCTGGGACAAATAACTTTTGAATTATCCTGTAAGAGAGTAAATGAATGCTATAAAAACATTGAAATCATTGTACATATCTTTTAAAAAACAGTTATATTAATTAATGTAATTCTTCAAATTTACATTATTTAGATCTCTTATAGTTGGAGAAGAATGTATTTGGTAGTAGAAAAACGTAGTTGATGTTTTGTATATTATTATTATTTATAAAAATAACTCTACATGTATATATGATTGGTAAGGAGATTTTCTTCCTATTTTGTATTTAAAAATTATATATATATATGCACATATAAAGGAAAATTTTAAAAGAAAGAAAGATAAAATGTAACAAATACAAGATGTTTTTTGCCAATAAAAAAATAATTATCGACTTATTGCTTCATAGGAAGCGAATGCATTGCAAAAAGTTCCTACATAAAATATGACTGGTAATCTTTCTTATCAGTATCTAACGAGGTGATAAAGCTATGCATTTTATGATTTGAGTTTATGATAAGCTGCTGAGCATTTATTAACTATTTACGTATTATAAAAGTGACGTACAGTACAGCTATTTTGTTAACAATAGATATGTACTGGCCAGTACTATTGACCGGTTCCTTGAAATAAATATTTTAAACAAGTAACTGATAGTATATTTAATAAAAAAATTAAAGTTACTAATAAAAATAAAAATTAAACTACAGTATCTTTAGACCTCAATGATGTAAGCAAATTTTGGATGTAAAATTTTGTACTGCTGTTTGTGGAAAATGTCCATAAGTGATTCACTGTCATTCTAAAAATAAACAAAAATGTAAGTAGTTCTAGAAGGATATGTTAAGTAATACTTTTTTGTACATTGAACTAAATACAAACTGCTATAAATAAATTGGTATTCTAGCAAAACTGTCAAGTTTTGAACTTTTCCATTATCAGATTAAATATCTATGACATATGCTGCTGCTTTACACAAATATTTATATGAAGGAATGTATAAAAAACACTAAAATGTAAGACAAGAAATTTCTGACTGTACAACATTTACATTTTTCTTAGATTGGAATTAAAAATAGATTTAAGCCAAATCTAAATTTATTATTGTAACTTGAGAAGCTGAAAATGCCTTTGACTAACTTATTGAAGTTGGGTCCACACGCGGCATTAGATCAGTATCATGATTTTGACTGTTAAACATTGCAATACAAATGGTTAATTTTTTATGACTGGTGTTTTATCACAGACCTTGTAACCAACAGTTTAGAAAAAACATTTTTAAAAAGTCAGTGAATCTTACTGATAGTTTGAGGATTATATTTGTTATTGAATTACAAAAAGATAGTTTATCTTTGTAGCTTACTGTTTGTTTTCATGGCCACAAAAGTTTGGAGTTAGGCAAAGAAAAAGTGTAGGCATTTAAAAATCATTAGAAAAACTATGGAAGTTCATACTTTGATGTGCTAGTAAAAGCTTAGAAAATTAGAAAGCTTGTTTGAAAATTGAGGTTAAATTTAATGTTATGATTATCATTTGTGAATTTTAGGTTGTGATCCATAACTGATTGTGTTTCTGCTCTTTTATGGTAAACACTGATGAATAAAAACCACTAGACTATCAATAGGTAAATTAGGTGCAGTAGTTGTAGAGCATTACATATAATTATAGAATATTAACTTAAATATTTGTTTTCTTTATAAATAATAATGAATGCAAATTGCATCAGTATTTAATGAGTTTAGCATGACTCCAAATATACATATTACTAAAGAATAAAATAAAAAAATGTTTGTTTTTTTTATTAGTGGTTATTATACAATGGGTTTAATCACCTATTCCAATGTATAACAAACTAGAGGCATAAAACTTAGAGCAAAAGAAACTTGTGTAATTTATAAATCTAGAGCAGGGTTTTACCCTTTGGTAGAGCTCAGAATTTTGGAGCTGGCACACAAAGTTTGAATAAGTGTGATATCAGAAAATATTATTCACACTTCAAGCTATAGGTACATCATAAGAGTGACAGTCAGTCCTTTAGCATAGATAGATGGGTGCTGCAGACTGATTGCCTTCCCTCTAATGGCAGCAAATAGCTTTGCCATAAATACAAATAAATGGATTTAATATTTATCACAAAATATCAGATCTTTAAAAAGCACATTGTTTCTAGTTTGACTAGTGTAGCACTAATATGTTTGTAAAGCTGAGGCATAAACATATCCAATTTATGTGAAGCACCAGAACATTAAACTAAGTATTGTAAAATCTAAAACAACATTCAACTTTTTAAGTAAAAATTTTCAGTTTCTACAAATCTTGGAACAGCCAAGTAGATTGTATACATCATTATAATGAAATTACAAGATTTTCAGTAGTAAAGTTAAGCCTTATTTTTAAAATGAATCTTAACTTACCCAATTTGAGCAAGCCACTAGATATTTATAAGTAATTTTACAATATCTTGCACAAGATCATTCTAAAAAAAGATTAAATACAAATAACCTCGTTTAAATATTTACAAACAAAATAGCTTGTGAACAGGTGATTTTAAATTAATAACCCCCCTACAATTAACATTCTTTTAAGACACCAGATACAAGACGAATATCTTTAGAAATATTATTACATGCATGATTGGATCATGATAACACCATACACAAATTGTTATCCCCAAGTTTTATTCATATAACTATGAAAACTTGTGGAATTACACCATTAAGTTTTTTTCTTAGCTAGCGAGCAGCAATTGACACCTGCCAAACTCGTATCAGATTGTCTGTATATCCTGCAAATAAGGTTTGTCCATCAGCAGACCAGGCCATAGAAATACATTGAGGAGGCTCTGCTTTGGAACTGGTTGTAATCACTTCAGGTCGAAGTTCGTCAACCATGTTCTTACCTTCAAGGTCCTGCCATTCAAAAAAAAAAAAAAGATTACAATCATAATCATGTTAAGGGCTGAAGCCAAACAAATTGTAAATTTTGTTTCTAGTGCAGTAGAATTAGTAAGAAAACCAGAGTTTTAGAATTGGGTACTCAGATCCTTGTTTTAAATAATTTTGTTGTTTAAACACCAAATATTGTTAAACAAACACAGAACTGTTTAAGGGACAGTGTAAAACTTATTTCAGAATGCTCAAGCTATCAGATTTGGTTAATTGTGGGTTCAGCTCCTTACATTTGTTTTTGTTCCAATAAGCGATGTACTAAAATCTTAAGGTTCTGGGTTATATAAATGTACCCATTTAACCATCCAATGCAATTTGATTAAAAATATATATATACATGTGAATTTAATACAATAAAAAAAATGAACCAGTAAGTTATAAATTACCCTTTACTGCCCATTTTCTTCCAACATGTCATTCAGTTAATAACAGTAATTTTAAACAAATGCATTATATGAGCTGTAGTGCTTTATATAAAGACTATAAAGGAGTTCTCACATAGAAAAATTTCTTAACTATTAGGTTACTAGCCAACGGTTTATCAGAAATTATAGCTTTTCCACAAGGAAAAACACCATGGTGCAGCTTAACCTCTTTGTCATATGGAAATGGATAATATTCCAGACAATAATGCTTTTAACACTTTATGGAGAAGAAAGACATTCAACCCACAGATTACAAAATCACACTATGCACCTAAAAAGTAACTAGTTAATCTTAAACAGCCAAAAGTGTAATATGTACAGTACACTTTATATAGGGAATTTCTTTTTAACTAAAACACAAATATATTCCAACTTATCTTTAGAATATTTAATCAACTCTTTTTACAGTTGCATAAGAACCTTCTTATATGCTTTGTGTAGTGCGTGAAGTAGACTTGTACAGACGTTAAAAAGAATAATGAGAATTGCCATTTGAGCATCAGTTTTGACTACTTCAAGCTGAAAATTAAATTGTTAGAGGTCCATTTACAAATATTTGTCCAAAATTACCTTGTTTTATATCTGATAATAACAAGCTAGATACTATTTTAAAATGGATAATTTTGTAATTTGTCTACAATGTAATGCAATATGTATACTTAACTTAAAATTAATAGGCATACAAAAGCATTATGAAATTTGGAAATAAACATTTTCTTGTTGCACTTAAAAGGATAGGAATATGGATTGGGTTTTAGGGCATAGATAGTAAAATGCTATACAAAAACAAAGGAAACTTAATATTACTCAGCAATTAATTACACCATTTAAAAATTAAGTATTTTAATGATATCCTAACTTAAAACATCACATTTATAAAATTGTCTTACATACAATTTAAATCAGTAGTTATTTAAAATATAAAAGCCACCAATGTAAAAGTTTGTCTTAAAATTAAAAAACATTTTAATTTTTTCACTCATAGGAAGACTAATTAGACCTATCCTAATATTAAATAATGGTTGTCTAGCACCACAATAAATAGCTTTTAGTTTCTCTGTGCAGTCAGTTAAGTAAATTGTGTATCCAACTTTACCTATTAGTTACAAATATAAATGTAATATCTGCCGATGTATTATAAAAATATTACACCCTATTTGACAAAGTACATCAAGACACATTTTATTAAAAATAACCCATGCAGTGAAGTTAGTCTGAAATTTTGTTATAAATAATATTGTACGATGACTTGTATCAAATATATATATCTGCCTTTATAAATATCATATTGCTATTTGTTACAAAATTCAGTTACAGAATAATTACAAATTATCAATGGTAGCAATTAACCCTCTCAAAAGTGTATTGTTAAATTTCACAGATTGATTGAGTTTCCTAATTTATACAGCAAAACCTATTTTCCATTTGGTAAACTAATAAACCATGATACAAAAACACATTTAGAGGAAATCAGACTCAAGAATTTTTTTAGAGCTTTATTAACAGAAATCATGCGAGACTGAGAAGTCAACATAATTACCGTTACAAAAATCTACTCCCTTTGACCAACTTGCAACAAATATCAAATTTTCACAATCACGGCCTTCTTATTATAGCGGAGCTTGCGATGTATACGTCCAAAACTCGGATCTCAGGAAACTACCGCACTGATCATCACCAGTCGTAATTGGGTAATATTTTTACAACTACACAGTATTTTGATAGTTGAGCAATAAATAAAACAATTGAAATTTCCACAAAAATGATGTTTCAGATTTAACCAGTAAAAATGACAAACAAAAAAAAGAGTAAGTTTCAGTTATAACCAATAAAAATTACAAAAAAAGGAGTAAGTTTCAAATATAAAACAATTAAAAAACAAACTTAAAACAATTATTTGTTTTTCTTCAGTTGCAACAGAAAAGCAAGGCACTTTCATTGATAACTGCATCTACAAAGAAATACTTAAATAAAATCTACACTGTGATGATAGCTCATTTTTAAACTAAAATTTCAATAAAATGCTTTTTCTCATGGATGGTGAACATTATTGAATGTTAAGTATGAGTACATTGTTGTAGAACTGTCATACAATTCCAGAAAAGGCTACAGACCCAATAGCCTTACACAGTAACTAGCAGTTATACCTGCCTGGAGGGTGGGTACTTCTGCTAGTAATAACAATTAGAATACTGAAGTACATGCCACTACACCATAGAAATCACAGAGAAATATTAACTTAAATATAAATAACAGATTATTTATGAAAGAATAATCAATTCTAATTTCACCTACCCAAATCTTGATGCTTGGGCCAGTAGCAACACATAACCAGTAGCGGTTGGGGCTGAAGCATAGACTATTAATAATGTCAGTGTGATCTAGGGTGTAGAGATGCTTTCCCTCGTTAAGATCCCACAGCATAGCTTTACAATCCTGATGGGAGAAATTAGCTAGCTCTTAATAATTCTATGCCTCTTATTTGTTTCTGACTACATGGTAGAAAAAGTTCCTATCTTTTTAAATATGATGAATAAACAAACTTGAATGACAAATAAAGGAACACTTTTATTGGAAACAGTAGAAAGATGAATCAAAATAAGTATTAAGTTCATGTATTATTTATATATACAAAGATAACACGAGCAATCAAGTTATTTTAAGAGCGTAATTCAGGCACTTTTGTATTGAAATCACTTTTTATCCAAGTAACCCTACAAACAATAGCAGACATTTATAAAATTAATTGGAAAACCATTACATAAAACTTAAATATTACCAAACACAACATTACAAAAATGCTTAGAATTACAATTTACTGAAATTGTAAATGCAGATATCAAGTTCAAAGAGTTAAAAAGAGGACTGATTGAAGATAAAATAAAATTTTATAAAAGATAAAATCTAAGTAATTCAAAATATGCCTAATAACATCAGGATTGAAGGTGGTGGAGACAGGTACTGAGAATTATTCTATCTTATTAGCAGTGAATGTGTATTTAAACTATAGTAAGAGTAAGTTAGATAATATACGTGTTTATTAAATGATATCTACATTAGAAGGTAATTTATTAATAACACTGGATTTACTGCTCAGGGAACGTGCAAAAGCTTATTATATGGCATTTATTCTACCTTGATAAAAACTTTTTGTGCACAGTTAGATATACAAAATGCCCTGATCATGTTAACAAGTATACTAGGTCCCGTAATAGCAAGAAGTATGCATATTAATATTCTTTAACAGAGGGAAGATAGGATTCAAGCTCCTCCTCCCCTTTTAAGGATGTAAACAATTTAGAACATGATAACAACTATGCTAAAAGAGGGACATTTTAACTAAATACTTTGTTGAAAAAAAAACCTATCTGCAAAAAAACATGTGCTGGTAAGCGATAGTTTCGTGATTTGAAGCCCATACATATTTCAGTTCAGCATGTAATATTTATAGTGAAACCTTAAAGTCTTACCAAGTTTCAGAAATGACACTAATATTATAGTTGAACATTAAGCAAAGTGACTCACTTTTCCACCTGAGGCACACAACGATCCATCTGGAGAAACTGTCACAGTGTTGAGGTAACCAGTGTGGCCAATATGGTTTGTCTTCAGTCGACAGTTGGTCAGGTTCCATACCTTCATGAAAATTAAAATTAGCTGAGCACTTAAAATAATTTGTTCTTCAAGTCCCATTACTGAAACTACACTCCTCATGGCAGAACAAGTCATCATACATAATCAAAAGCTAATACATGATAATCATTGAGCAGAATTTTGTAAAAGTAAAAATTGGTTCAGTAGACTATAAAAATACTTTGTACTTAAGAACTCACCTTAACGTATTTATCCCAACCACAGGATACAATTATAGGATTATTGTTGTTTGGAGAGAATCTTACACAAGAGACCCAATCACTATGTCCATCATCCTGCAAAAGTAAATTTGTGTATGCAATAAAGTGACAGATTAAATGAAATTTCACAATTCACAAATAGAAATTATCAACACTGAACTACATAAATGATTCCTTTAAGGAACTTTGTGTAAATTCAGAAAGAAAGTTATACTTCTGCACTGAATCTAAAGTAATCTATTAGCAAAGGAGAAGTATCAAAATTCAGATATGATGTTCTTTTTCACATCATTTTTTTAAAATCTTACCAGGTAAAAATCAGCAACATTATACTATTTACATTAATAAGTAACTTATAACTATGACAACTGTTTTCACATTAAAAAGCATCAGAATGTTCAAATACAAAAACATATGCATTTAGAATAAGAAAAATTAATTACAAAAAAAAAAAACTCAGACAAAAAACGCCCTTAATATTTCAGCGTCCAATTTCTTTAACTAACCTGAATAGTATACTTGCACTGAGCCAAAGTATTCCACAGTTTGATACTTCTGTCACGAGATCCGGACACTATCTGACGGTTATCAGCAGAAAAAGCTACACTCAAGACGTCTTTAGTATGGTCTTCAAACCGGCGAGTTGTGTTTCCCCTAAAATCAAAACACCAAACATTACAGAGCAAAATGAATTAGACATTTCAATTTAAATTATGCATAAGTCATTCTGATACACATACAAACAAACTGGATTCTGATCTCATCAATCCTATAAATGTCTTAATATGTCTTGACACAAGATGATGATCCCACAGTATTTAAATAAAGTACATCTTGTTAAATTTTATTCAATGATTTACCTAGATTACTGATAGAATCTAGTATACAGTGAAATCTCATTAATCCAAATACATTTGTAATGTATTGGCTCTTCCAGATTGGTAAGACATCCAGGTAGTGGAATTAATCACCGTAAACACATTGGACTATATTAACAGCATGCATTTTCAACTGATAAATGTAACAGTGCAAACTAGCAAGAGAGGACGTGCAACTGGTAAACAAAACGTAACTGTATGTGCAATAAACTTGGCAGTTTATTACTTTATATGCCATCAATAACTATACAAATTGCATAATCAAGGTGCATGTGTCATTATCTTCACATCAACCATCATTTTGTTCAAACCAATGACTTAACTAATACGATATACATAATACGTGTTCCTCTCTTGCATAAACATCTCTTAATGATGCTGATACTTCTATGAACATTTGAAAATTTGATTGGTTTACTTTTCTAAGGAACTATGACAGTAATCAGTGAACTATTAAGGCTTGGGTCAACTTCAAGCAACTTCTTTCAATATTTAGTTTAAACCTCACGACTTTTGTTGTCATCTGTAAACTTGTTATCCAGCAAAGCATTGTTCTGAATCCCTTTTGTAAAAATGAACTTCAAAGAAAAGTTAACACTTAATGGTTTTCAATTCAATTCATTATATAGCTTACATTATGTAACAGCAAATGTACAAACTTACCACTCATCTTGTTGCAACATCATTGCTACTACCAAAAAGGCAGGTCTTTATACTAAAGGAAATGAATGTTATTTATAGAGTCAAACCTGCTCTCAACAAGAATTAATGCCAGACGATAAGCTTTTAATTTGTAATACCCACTTAACATGGTTAACATAGATTCAGCATTTTTTTTAAAGTTACAGATTTTATAAGCTGAAAGCCAACCACAACTAATTACATAGTTATATTTACCCTGATCCAAAAAAGGAATTCCAAGTTACATTGTACCAAAATTTCATTAGTTCTTCAAGTTCAAGAATAATTTGCATCTGAGCATTTTTTTAAAATATATACTTTCCCAAACAATAGATTTTTTAAAAGAATGCACTTACATTCTTTTTTGTTTTAAGATTAATGGAAAATTCACAAGTGCCAGATGGACACGTACAAGTCACTGGTGGAAAACTCCTAGTCGCAAGCTCTAAATGATACAAATGGAAATGGTCAGATCATTCTACTTACTGAAAACCTGTAATAGGTCAGTGGAGAAGGATGTGATCAAATTTAACATCAGTGTTATTGCAATTTAGTATCACAATTACAATCTCATGATCAAATCTGGTATTTATTTTCTCTTTTTCATTTTTGAAGCTGAGCAACACGTATCAATTTCAAGTTTTGCATATCAATTACTCTTCCTTTATGCACTGAATGTCTTTAATGTAATATACTGGAAAGAATTTAGAAATAGCGAGCAAAGGAAAAATTAAAATTATTATAGTCCTTACAGTGAGTTGCCTAGAATCACAATTCTCTTACTTACACAGACAAATCCCACAAACGCAGAGTTTTATCCCAAGAACAAGACAGAGCATACTGACCATCAGAAGACATCACCACATCGGTTACAAAGTGACCATGACCCTTCAGACGTTTCTGAGGAATTCCATAGTTTGTGTCATCGCGAGTCAACTTCCACATAATGAGGGTTTTGTCTATAGCAGAAAAATTTTTTTAATATTAAAAAAAGTTAAATAAGGAACTCCCCTTTATACTTCTATAAAACAATCTCCTAGAGAAGGAAAGTTTGCTTGTAATAAGACTGAAGGATCATTAAATGTTCCAAACTTTTAACTATAAAAGTAATCTTTATTATACTCATCAACATATACTATGCATGACTGTTCTATTCTATACTGGATAAACAATAAAACATTATTAGCATTCCATAGGGTTGGTATGGAAAAAAGCAAACTTGAATATTTCCCAAATCAAACCATTATTCATGCTGCAAAAAGTACAACTAGGTACAGCATCAGCACACAAATGCAGATCAAATGAGCATCTTAGTTATTAATACACTATTTTACACATAGGCACTTTACAAGTGGATATTTTTCATGATATTATGTTGTGTCTTGGGCTCCTTATTTTAAGAATGACATTGAGCTGTTGGAAAGGATTCAAAAATGGGTTACTAGGATGATTCCTGGGATGGAGTGGCTGTCATATGAGGACAGGTTAACTTCCTTAACATTATTTACACCTGAGAAAAGAATGGTTACAGAGGATCCAGTTTAAGTGTTCAGAATTATAAAAGGAATAGATAGGATTAATACATAATTTTTTGTGTTTAGTGGTAAGACTAAGGAACATACACTTAAGATTTAGCAGGGTAGATGATATTTGGAAATTAGGAAATTAATGCTTTTAACAGGTTGGTCAGCCTTTAGAAAAGATTGCTTTCAGACATAATAGACACGAGATGATTGGGAGAATTGAAGAGAGAGGCTTGAATACTACTTGAGTATAGACAGGTGTGTATTTGTTGAAATGGTTGGGCCAAATACCAAATAATGAGAGTGGCATGGTTCTTGTGTCTATCCAGTTCTTAAAACAAAGGGGTTTGGTAGTATAGCCTATCAAGTCTCTTGCATTCAGTGGCAGAATAATACATTCAGAACTAATTTCAAGCTCTCTCCTCTCAGAAAGAAAAACTCTCCCTTCTGGTAAGATAATTTTCAGTCCCAGAAAGAAGGTCCAGAGAATTATTGTTCTCGGCCATGGATGTGAATGCGAAATTACAGTTGCGAGTATATAAATCTCCCATAAACAAAACACTAATTATTGTACACCAAACAACAAATGAAAAACGTGTACAGTACTAATACACGCTGAGTTTGCATGATTTATTTCAAGGCAACTGTACTCCCACTAGTTGTAAATTGGCTTTAAAAAAATTGCAATGATTGCTAAACCTTTCTTCTGCCATTTAGCAGCAACCAGTGAGCAAATGTTAAAACCAAAAACAGGTTGTTGGTTCAAATTGGTTGGACTACTAAGGATCAGTCATACATCAAACAATAGCTCCATTCATGCTCTACTTTGGTCTGGGTGGTTTTATTGGATCCAGAAGCATTTCCTATTTGAAAACACACAAATAAAACTTTAAAACTACTTATAATTCTTTTTAGCCACCAAATTTGTAGAAACAAGGCCATACAATAAACTTTGTGGTGCTTATTAGATAATGCATAAACCGATACATAGATATTTCTGCCCAAATTGAACCGATAGCATGTCAAAAAATGATGAATGGGGATTGTAAACAGACTATACATTGGCTTGGCAACAACTTGCTTTATGCCATATCATTGGACATAACCAGACAATATTTTGTCCTAACAACAGTTTGCTGTATGTTGTATCATTAGGTGTGGCTAGAGTGAAAGAACATGTGATACAATAGTCTATATAAAAGTGGTACGAATGATTTACCAATTATATAATGACATGACATAGAACAGGTGGAGGTTACTACTGGTACATATTTGTCAATCACAGTATTTCAAGTTTACAACTAATGTAATTACAAAATCTTTACTATTCTTTCATAGGTAAGCTAATACTACATTTTAAACATTTGGTTGTTGACAATTTTCATTTCATTTATCTTGAAATAGTTTGAAACTGATGCATTTTATTGGGAATACATTTTCGTATTCGAATACAAATTTTTGAATACACAGATTTCACGCACTCTCAGGTTACAAGGTAAACCAATAATTTGATATCCATCATTTGCTAACATTGTTCCAAATGGGAAGGTCGCATAGTGCGAAAGTTGATTTACAGGTACAATTATTAATTGTTTTTCTTTAATTGTGAACTACATAATTGAACTTGCAGTGTAAATCTACTAATTTTTCACTATGGAATCCAATGGTATATGATTTTTTTGGCTATTTTCATTATTCAAAAATCATCAAAACCCCTAATCATAATGAACATGAAAATATAGCATACATTATGCATTTGATGCAATTATTAATTTTACCCCACATTGCTGATTTAGCAATAGTTCTTGTTAGAACTGTTTATACACATTTCAAAGGTTTTAAAGGTTATGCACATTTCAAAGGTTATGGACATACAAACTGTACAATGAGTAAAAGTACGTTAATTTGTTACACGAACATCACCTTGCATTATAAGTTGTCGAGGTGAGACTGATGACAAAAATCTACAAACATATCTTGAGTACAAATACTTTTAGTTTAACATATCTGATTTTTTGTGCACAACAGTCTTGCTACATCTTTTGTAGATATACCCATTAGTTTGGGATATACAATCAACATCATTTCTCCAATACAGAGTTGTTCCAATGAAAAGAACTAGTGCACATTATGTTAGTAATATTTTTGATGTGATAGAAAATGCCACATTTTAATTTTTACAAATTAAAATGGCTTTCTTTTGTCATAAGTAACCGTGTGCCTTACAATCATTTTAAAAAGTTTAATTCATTGATATACTTTAGATTTTAAACAAGAGAAAATCCTCAATAGCTGTGGCACTTGAAATTCTTTTAGGCAGAATCAGAGTAAATTAATCTACAAGATCTTTGTTTTCCCTTTTATTAGCTATCGTTTGTGCACAAACAATATCAATATCAATTTTATTACTCATCAGGATCTCTTACCAGCCTACCCTCAAATTGAAATTATTTTACTTTTAGGCAGGATTAGAATAAATTAATCTACGAGACCTTGGGCATGGTCAAATACATCAGTCGAAAGGGTTTGACCTCAAGAGTCCAAAGCTGTAATTAGATCACAAATTGGTCAAGAGATGATAGAGTTACGTGCTAAAAGTTTGTACTTGAAAAGTGAAAACAACAACAAACAAACTTGGACTTGGAGTCAGAGTATTCTAGGAGCTGTGGTTAAAAATGTTTCTATCAGGGAGTAGTGGTTAGAGTTGGGGTGCAATAAATACCTACCTCTTGTAAAATGCTCCCCTTGATAGCTGACATTACTATATTTATCAACATAACAGTATTTTAGAGGGTAGTCCACACACACATTTTCATACAGTTTGAGCACCTTTAACAATAATTGAATAAATCAGATGGCTCTTTGCCCATAATTCGACATTGATAATACAAGTTACAAGGTTTGCTAACCAAGTCACTGCCACATTTAATTATGAATATGATTTGTTTATAATTATATACTATAGAATTACTTCTTTAATAGTATCAATATAAAACTATTAGTTAATAATTATTTACAACTGTTTCACCTATAACTAGTAAATAAACTTCAGTAGTTAAACTAACGTCGGATCACAGAATACAGACCAACAATTAACACTATATACTACTGAAGTGAAGATATACTACTGGTACAAGTAGTCTTCAGCTGTGCATAGGCTAAGCCCACTTACCTCTAGACGACGATAGAATCATTTCTGGATATTTTGGATTTGTGGCAATTTGAGAAATCCATCCATTGTGTCCTCTTAATGTTCCTTTTAAGTAAAGTCCTTCAGTCATGTTTCTAATGGATTCTTGAGTGCAGTTATTGCGATGAAAACAGATTTTCTATACTAACGCCAGATTGACAGTTACTTTACTAACCATTTGTTAAGGAAGTTTCATGATTCCTAGATGGCGCTTAAAGCACATAACTTTTAGCTTTTGTCACTTAAAAGTTTCCTTTTTGATTCAAATAGAATTGCTGCTCTTCGAAACTTTATTATTCTATACAGCTTTGGCTAAATAAATAAATAAAAATAAGACGTGAACATTTATTACTCGAGTTAAAATATATCTTCCGTATTCAGAAAGGTAAAATAAAGTTTAATTTTACCAAAATCCACACAACAAAATAGGAATAGAAACAACTTAACTTTTGTTTGTTTGTTTTGAATATTCAAGCAAACTTACACAAGGACTATATCATATATGTGCCAGATGTTCATAATTTTGAACCAAAAGATTATATGACGGCACCTAGTTAACAGTATTCACAACCAAATCTTGAGCTACTCAAGAGAAAGAAAGCTGTGAAGCTAAACACACTCTAGTAGAAACGACCGCCTTTTCATGTGCAAGTATGTATGATGTGGTTTCTTCTTGTTTTATAATAAAGCGTGTTTAATTTCTACCAAATTTATCCATCATTGTTACTTAATTTAACACACACACACACTAGGAAAACTCAGTTACCAGTTTCAGAATAACTCTCCATATTTTTTGAGCGAATCTGCCGTTATTAGCTGGTTCGTTTATCTGATACTTGTCGAAAAATCACTTTTTACTTGAAAATATCACACCATTATGAAATATTTAGTAGATAATTTCATTAGTTTTATCTTTCCCGTTTAAATGTGCCAGTATAAGATACATGTGAATACATTATACAGTCCATCACTATAGAAAACCTCGTATTCTTTTTGGATTTGCCATTGTCTAGGGTTTAACTTAGTGACCAATGTTGAATGTAATGATAGAGTGAACAACTTCAGGTTCATTTTCATTGCCAATATGATGCAATTTTTGGAATTATGAACAATACGGAAAAAGAGCAAACATTTGGTACATTCCTTAATCCATGGCTGTTTGGGTGGTCTCGACTTCAGTTGTATTGGTGCTGGTTCTCACGTAATCATCAGTGGTTTAATTTACATAAAAAATAAACATTACTAGAATATTTGTGACACTTACAATAAACAGCACTATGTTATTTGATTTCTCGCACTCTATGCTTCCTTATATTATTTGTACATTGAAATAACTGCAAAGTTCCATTTTTATTCCGGTAAATTGTCTTATGCAAGTATCAAGATGTTTAATAGGGAACTGAATTTGTTGTTGTGGTATACAAACACGTGCTCATTACTTCTCGTCTCCTTTACTCGGCAAGGTGAACATTCTCTGGGGTAATAGTGAACAGCTTTAGTGTATTTACCATCATTTATTTTACCAACCGTTAATTTAAGATAAGTGCAGTTAATATTAGCTAAATTTGACTTTACACCATTAGTTTAGTTAGATTAGTTTTAAATTTACTTTCTTGCCCTTATTACGCCTCGTGTATTTGTACATACAGTGTCTTATTTTTTTTTTTTTAGAATTTTCGTATACGCATTGTTTTTGTTTGTGGCATGGAAAAGTTGATGATGCCAACCCGTCAGTGGGCTTAGCTGTCACAATTACGATGTTGTATAGTTTGGAGGTAGTTTGTTTGTTTTAATTAAGCACAAAGCTACACAATGGGCTATCTGTGCTCTGCCCACCACGGGTATCGAAACCCGGATTTTAACTTTGTAAGTCCATAGACATACCGCTGTGCCACTGGGGGGGGGGGGGGGCTTGGCGGTAGTAATGAGCTCTCTTTGATCAAGTGTGGTGTTTGAGAGGGAAATTTCAAACAAATATACATCAACAACTGTGGTTCTAGATAAGAAGTAACATTTTTGGATTCCCTAATTAAGTTATGTTATTCTGATTATTTATTGTTGCTTTCATTATACTAGTTATTATATTAAATGTAATTACTTTTGTTTTCATTCGTCTTTTATTATAAATATTATTTTGCTTGTTTGTTTGTTTATTTGTTTTACAACAAAGCCACGTTGAACTATTCGCTGTGTCTACCGCGGGGAATCAAGCCCCAGAATTAGCGTTTTAAGTCTGTAAAGTATCCGCTGTCCCAACAGGGAATTGTTCTTTTGCATTGTTATCTTACAAGTTGTAATTAGGACTAACCTAACTCTCCTAAGCTGTCCGAATAGGAAGGATTGCTGTAAAGTATAACACGCAATATAAAGGTGGACAGTTATATTTCCCACTGTTGGGTCAAATGATACCACGAAGAAATATCGTCCTACATTTGCTATTTGAACATAGGTTTTACATGTTCGCCTAAGAATCCTACAGAGTAAAGTGGTAAAGAGAAAATCTGATACCTCGACCGCATCATTTGTTGGAGTAGAATTCACTATGCTCATCTTATTTCTTAAATAGGTTATACTAAATATCTATAGATGTCTTAAGAAATTACATTTTCTGGTGTAGAAGTACTTACAACCAAAGTAAGAGTCTACTACTGAGGGTAGACAGCTGTCTTAGAGAGTGGTTGGGTCTCAGAACTTCTCTCCTCCTCGAATGCTAGACTTTCTTAGCTGTAACAAAAGATACAAGATACATCGCAATCTGGTATACCCAGAACTACTGATCGAGTTTTTCTCCCGAGGAATGATGATATGGTTATTGTGATTTCTTGTGATCTAGTGAGTTTGAAACTTGTTTTGGTGGAGTTTTCTACTATCTTGACGAGTGCATTTTACTGTTCTTTTCTTAACTCTTGTGTAGGTTGGATTTAAATGTATTTAAAGGAGAAAATGACATTGTCTGAGAGAGTGGTTGACTCTGGATGCCGAACATTTGATGATGTAGTATAGATCCATGACTACAATTTCACTAGAGCCACAGAGTCATGGAGAACTGCCAGAATTTTGTGCATCCAGAATTAATTATCGGGGTTTTCCCCTGAAGGTTGACTGATCTCAGTGCAAAGGAGGCATGATTATCTTGGAGTTGCAGTGATAAGTCTCTTAAAGCTATTCTTCTCATTATGTAAATACAAACACGTCAGTTGACATTCTATGTAACATATAACAGACGACACAAACCTAGGTAGAAATGTTGTCTAGAGAGCAATACAACTGTGCATTGCTGGAGAAAGACTTACATTCGGTCCTCATTTTCACAGAATTATTAATACATATGTTTGGTTAATTTAAGAACTGATTTTATTTTATACAGTTAACTTAAAGAAAGTTTTAGTGTATTTTGTATTTTGATTGAGTTATACAAATACTATCCAAAACAAATAATTTAGGTTTAAGAATTAAAGTAATATATTATGTAGATTTTTTTATGACGTAGATGTTGTAATAAAGCTTAAAAGTGAGATAATTGGCTCTATCGTTTTTCCTTTAAAATCTTCAAAATCACGTTCACAAAAAACGAAAATTAAACAGAAGGCCAGTCATCTGGTTGCTGAAACTGACCAGCTGCTTATCCAATACATTAGTCTTAAGTATTAGAGCTCTCTTTTCGGACTTCATTGACAGCTACAACTATCTGCCACCATGTTAGCGTACTGTTTGAGCACAAAGTTGCCGCCATCGTCTCGATACAGTAATAGAAAAGGACTCAATTTGTTAGGCACACAAGAAGGTTTGGGCACACCTTCAACTAATTTCAATGTGTTAACAATGCTCTGAACAGCGGCGTGATTAGAAGAGTATTCATTTTGACGAATAGGAAAATTACAGCCACCTTTACAGTAGAAAGCGCTGTAGCCTTTTGGAAAGATGATCCAATCTGACCAACCGATTTGCTCAAAGTTCACGTACATCTCAAAACGATTGCAATCTAAAGACTGGTTGGTAACTGGTGAGGTCTCATTGAGTAGATCTTCTTGGTATTCTGTCGATCTCCTGACTCTTGCTATGGAATTTTCGCTTTCCTGAGGGTGCATACTATGATCAAGACTTGGAACCAAATCTTGATAATTACTGGGAGAAGGGTTGTGTTTGGGCATTTCAGGAAAGTCATAACCCTTGAAATCTGAAATATATGTATATTATTATTATTACAGTTTGTTGACAAAAGTTATTTCTTCATTCAGAATGATTTATATCCATTTTTAGATTATAATTTTCTATTTACGCATATGAAACATTTATTGACTACAGAAAATCAAGATTAACTGTTACCACCTTCAAAATCATTGTGTTTTTCTGCTTTATAGAATTATCTCTGTCCGTCGTATTCTTGTTTGAATAATGGAACGATAGAAGAAAAATACTCGCAATCTGATAAGGTGTAGGTTGAGACTTAGATTATTTAAAGTATTTTATTAAGTTGATGTAAAGAAAGTAATATCCATGTGATTTATAAAATAACAAATTTAAAACAAAATAAGAAAAAACACAATTGTGCACGTCAACAAATTTACGAAAGTAACATAATTAAGCACTAAGAGAATGCTAGCTACAAAAACAAAGTTATATATAATCAGAAAATTTCAAATATTGATTTTCATGTGCACAGGTCGATGGAATTTCGTCACAATTGTTCATTATATACTCACGTTAATAAAAAGTGTTTTTATATGTCTGTGTGGATTACTGAAGAAAAAACTCCAGGACTTCAAATTATTCTACACATAAACAACTCCCACAATAATGTAGACATACTTTCTTTAATACAGGGTGGATAAGGCTGTGGTAATTAATTTTAAGGTTTACGTTGTGTGAGCGCCAAAGTATTTTGAATCGTTACAGCTTTACTCATAAGAAAAACAAAAATGAACCATTTTATCGTGATAAACGACAACGAATAGAATCTTTTTATCTAACCTTTGTAACAACTTGAGTAGTAATTGTTTCTAGGAGCTTCAATGTATGATTTTACAATAATAATGCTGCCATGAAAAAAAATATATTTGTGTTATCAAACATGTACAACTAATTCCATCTTTAAACGATCTGAATTAAATCTTGTTGTTTTCTTTTTGTGTTTTTCATTTACGAAAGGTTTCGGTTATGCTTGTAAACTTTATACTTTAGTTCCAAATCCAGAATTTTTTGAACCTGGTCTACCTGTACTCTGGAGTGTTGCGCCATCTATTATTTTCTACTTTAAACTTCAAAAATTTGGGACTTAATCTGTTTTCTCGTGAAGTTGGCAAAAAATTCTATAGGTAGGAGATTCTTAATAGATATGTTTTAATGTTTTCATAAACTTGCTAAGTATCTCTCGTTCATATCTAATTACTGCGAGGAATTTGTTTGTTTGTTTGTAATTAAACACAAAGCTATAAAATGAGCCATCTGTGCTGTATCTATCACGAGTATCGAAACACGATTTTTAGCATAGACTTAACGCTGAATCACGAGAGGGGTTATACAATGAAACCTTAATAACCAGATAAATTTGAAAATAAGAAACACCGACACCCACATGGTATAACTTTAATTATACTAATAAATTGGCATCCCTAGTTGATATTTAATTTTTGTAAAGTATTTATTACTTGTTCCTCACTCCCTTTTCAAAAACAATTTAATTGAAGTAGGTTTATAAGTGAACATTTGTTTAATTTTTATAATTTAATGGATTTTGGATATAATTTAATATAATTTTGGATTATATATGAGACCAGTGAAGCTGGAATGGTTCATCCAGGACGGTACAAGTACCTCGGAGCGCTAGATCAACTTATAGGGGATATATACAGAGCCCACGCTTTCCAAATTCACCACAACTTCCTGCATGTGCATACAATACATGTTAGGGTCATGTCGATTAATAAGGAGGACAACATACAGATTCCAGGCCTGAAATATGATACTATGCATACATACACAGCTGCCGTTCTCGGCCCCACTGAATATTTGAAGAAAAGTAGACCGCTATATAATGTTTTGATTTGATAATTAAGAAAGTGGTGTTTTTAAACTTAGTTTGTGTGTGTGTTTTTTACAGTAAAAATAAATAAAGAATAATCTAAATTAATATTCAAAGTATCAAGGAGATCAAGTACTTATGCAACTGACAGATCTGTGTATGTGTTATTGATGTCTGAGTTTTAAAGCGGTAAGTTTTCGGATTTACAACGCTAAAATCAGGAGTTTGATTCCCCTCGGTGGTCACAGAAGATAGCCCGATGTGGCTTCACTATAAGTTGTTTTGGCAGATATCATTCTGTGCAATGAAAATTCGCCCCCCCCCCCCAGTGGCACAGTGGTATGTCTGCGGACTTTCAACGCTAGAAACCGGGTTTCGATACCCTTGGTGGGCAGAGCATAGATAGTCCATTGTGTAGCTTTGTGCTTAATTCCAAACAAACATACCAAATTTGCCATCAGCCGAACATAAATGAAACTATTATTTATGAAACATTGAAATAATATATGCTTAAAATTGAACTCACTGCTAAGTAGTAGTTTTCCTTTTTATTATTTCTTAATAAGAATACACGTGGTAGAAGAACAGAATAATATTACTGTTATACAAGCTGTGAAACACTTGATAATGACAATTAGATGCTCAAATAATGCTATAACTCAACTTTAGTAGTTATTTGTAAACATCATAGATTGAATACGGCAGCCATTTTTTCTCGTCCCATCCCTACATACTAAAGAACTACCGTGCATAGTGATAGCCTGTTCTCAAGAGCTGTTAAAATACTTTTCTGTCGTACTAAAGCCATTGCGAAAACTTCAGTCATATTTTGGCAAGCATGGGAGAAGAAAAAAGAAAGCTGAACACTTTCGCTCTTTAGCTATTTCCAAGTTCTCCACTTTAGCAACACTTTTCAATGATATTGGGAGCCTTACAAGCTGTGAAAGACTCGATACTGGCAATTAGATGCTCAAATAAGGCTATAACTCAACTTTATCTGTTATTTTTAAGCATCATAAAGTAATAGATTGAAAGCGACAGCCATTTTTTTCTCAGCCCATCATTGGTACCACTTCTTAAAAATCATGCAACAACTTTATGAATCAATTAAATATAACGAAATTATCAACGTGTTTAGTTAATGATCCATATAATCGTTTGTCATAAATATATATATTTATAGATCTAAGAAGTATTAAATTGATCGCGACGTTCTAAAATGGGACTAAATATATTCGTTTCTTTAATTTGTTGAATATCCTTCCACTTATAATGCAAAAAGTAATGGATTTAGGTTGGAAAGGGCCATAACAGCCAAGGAGGAAATAATCAAATGTACCAAGCAAGTTGTGTAGTTTAGAATGATATATTTTTTACGCAATTAAAACTAGATATATCAAATATTATATTTAGTAATATACGTTCGTGTATTATTTTACAATAATGGAATTAAGTTACACCCGAATAAAAAGTCGAGATGTATTTCTTTTACTGAAGTGATGGAAAACATGCCTACTTCTTAAATTCATGAACATCATCAACATCACACTTAAGACGCGTATAAAATTTGAACTATGCAGTAAAATTATTTTCTATCCGTTGTGTTATTAAGCTGAATTGGTCGGGTTTAGCCAAGCGGTTAGCATGCTTGGGCTTGGATTCGGCAATTTATGGTTCGTGACTCATTGCCGAAAAAAAAGCGCACATCACTTTAAAGCTGTGATTGCGTTATAAAAGTGACGATTAAATTCTATAATTTGGCCAAACAAGAGCTACCTAAAAGATGGCGGTGGGTGTTATTGATTAGCTGTCTTGCCTCTAGTCTTTCAGTTACATGTAGATTTTTTATTGTTTATTTGTAATTAAGCACAAAGATACACAATGGACTATCTGTACTCTGCCCACCACGGGTATCCCCCCCCAGTGGCACAGCGGTATGTCTGCGGACTTACAACGTTAGAATCCGGGTTTACCCATGTTATAATAGATAAATTACGCTTCTTAAAGAGTAAGCTTCACTAATATAGCATTTGTTTTTCGAATATTATCCTTCATTTTTTAACATTAATTTGCTCATAACTTATTACAATATAATATTATATCATAAAATATTTTTATAACCATAAATTTGTATGATAAGTGGCAACTATATTTGAGTGTGTGTGTATAAAATGACTAAAGTTGAAAACTTTGTAACAAGATTTTCTATTGGCTACTAAAATAATCGAAGATAGTGATTTTGCACAAGTTTTTTTTTCACGGTTTTTTCACATTTGCTTAATTATAATTATATTATGTAACTTTGCGCAAAATTCAAATCAAACCAATCTGCACTAAATAATTAGTGTAGTGATACTTATTATTTAATATTCGCTACGAACTAAAACGTAGGCGTTCAAATTATGCCCCCCCCCCAGAGACGTGCGCCTCCATTTTTATGTACTTTATAAGCAATATTTGTGTCTTTACGGCTACAATTTTTCCTGTAATTAAAGAGACGTCCGTATATGAATTCTTACCTTTAGCTTTTAACTGTTTTATACACAAACAAAACCTGGACCGGTGGTAGCTCGGAGATTAGCATCCTCAGATTCGGAATCCGAGTGTTCGTGGGTCGCGTCCTGTTGCTGCGAAAAGATACTCCGCATTTTGGGGGCGTGTATGTGCTCTAGGAAGGACGGTCAGATCCCCACTATTCGATCAAATGAAAGTTGGCGGTGGGTGATGTTAGCTACCTTTCGTCCACAGTTAAAAATTAACTATTATCTCTTATGTAGATCTGGGCAATATCTGTGAGGCAAACCGATAAGTCCATATAGCAACTCGCTTGTTACTGCGAAACCCAGCTTAAGTATTTCTGGGGTGAAGTTGTTCAACACTGTACTTAGTTAAAGCTTGTTAGTTCCAGTGATGTGAATCTTATAAAACAAAAGACTTATGTTTGTGTGTGTGTTCTAACAATGCTTGAATCTAGTGGTTTTCAGGGTAGTGTAAGGTGCTGGAACTGATAAGTAACAATGTTGTACATTTTGGGTGGCATGATGGTTTGTTCTTTGGTGCAGAGGTCGAGGGTGTTGAGGCAGAAGCCGATGGTTCAGTATATGCACTTGAAAATCCTTTCCATGGCTTCTTTCAAGTCTTGTCAGTTTTCAGAT